CCTTTGTCAGCTCAGGTTGGTGTAACAAAAATTCCATAGACTCTGGTTAGGGCTGCATTGTGTGACAACTTTTAAATGAAAACACTGCAATGTAATCTCATATAACTTGCAGCATAAGAAAAAGAGAAATTAGGCTGGAGGTATGGCTCAGCGGTTAAGAATAGTGGTTGTTTTTGCAGAAGACCCGGGTTTGAATCCCAGCACCCACATGTAAGCTAACAACTGTCTGTAACTCCAGTTCCAGGGAATCCAATGGCCTCTTCTGTCCTCGAGGGCATTGTACGACATGGATACATTTACCTACATGCAGACAATACACACATACACATAAAATAAAAAAACAATAAATAGGGTCTGGAGAGATGGCTCAGCAGTTAGGAACATAGGTGTTCTTGCAGAAGACCTGGGTTCTAATCCCAGCACCCACATGGCAGCTAACAACTGTCCATATCTCCAGTTCCAGGGGATCCGAAAGTCTCTTCTGTTCTCCACAGGCACTGCACGACTCGTGTGTACTTACCTACATGCAGGCAATACACACACAAGACACATAAAATAAAAAAATAATAAATAAAACATTTTTAAAAACAATAAATATTTCTTAAAAAAGAAAAAGAGAAATGATTGTTTTTAGTACTACTAAATATTAACTACTGAAATTTAATATTTCCTTTTTCCTGGTAAATAGGTGTATATTTAATACAATACTCTAACATGCCTAGAAACTTCTTTCCTAGCATCACTTCAAAACATTGGAATAATAGTGATAATATATTTGAATAAAAAGCACTTTAGAGCTTGAGAAATCTAAACAAATACGTGGAAATTATAAAAATACTAAGTGTATTCCTAAGCAATGTGAAGATACCTGAGATGAAGGAGGGGTTGGGGAGGATCATCCTTGGTTTGTTTTTTGATGGGAAGTTCTGATGAGAAAGAATCTCGAGATGTAGTCCACAGTGTCCTAGGAATCATGACAGTCCTAATTTGGTCTAGAACTCAAGAAGGGGGCAGGCAATCGTAATGTTCTGCGAAGGTAATTGAAGAAAATTTTAGGTAAGTTCCAAAGAGAAACGTTGATTGACTAAAAGCTACCATTTCCTTAAAAAAGACTGGCTGCTGCACTCCCTCAGCTACAGTTGCGGTCTTCTATGGACGTCTCCACTTCGGTGCTGGGGTTTGGTCTGAGCTGACTAGGATCCAGTGGATGAACCCACACTGAAAACTGGGGAACCACATTTGAACCGATTTGCCTTAAGAAAGGTATACATGTATATAATATATACATACGCATATATAATGGAGTGTATGAAATTGAGCAGAGGGTCAATGAGGTATAATAGGAAGAGGGGGTCTAAATTTGATTAAAATATTGCATGAAACTCACAAAATTCAATAAAAACATTTTACAAATATCATTTCCTCACATATTGGCTAGAGTACTCTGCCTCGATTTCTAACAGCACCATTTCCTTTAACTTACAGACATAGCTTTCTAAAAGTAATACTAATACTAAATCAGCCACCACAAGCATATTTGGATAGATATTGAGCAGAGCTCTGTGTAAAACTGAAGTTCTTTTAAGTAGGAGTGATGAGGCATTTATTTTCTTTTTTTGTATTTTATTTATTATTTTTATATTTTTATGTGTATGCGTGTATTGCCTGCATGTAGGTAAGTGCACTTGTGTTGTGCAATGCCCACAGAGGTCAGAAGAGGCTGTCAGATCTCCTGGGACTAGAGTTACGGATAGTTGTTAGCTGCCGTGTGGGTGCTGGGATTTGAACCTGGGTCTTCTGCAAGAATAACCAGTGTTCTTAACCGCTGAGCCATCTCTCCAGCCCAAGGCATTTATTTTCTTAAGAGTCTCTGATCTGTGTGGGTTTGTAGGTGCATGACTGTGAGTAAATTGTATGTGTGTGTTGAGTAAAATAGATGTGTATGTGTGTGTGTGTGTGTGTCTGTGTGTGTAGAAACACAGAATGTTTACTAAATATAAAGCATATACTTAATAAGTATATTTTTATTCATCATTATATAAGTAATAACTTTTTAATGATAGAA